TATCAGCAAGTATATTCCTTAAATAATTTATCCTTTAGCTAGTATTATGGAAGTGTAACAGCTAGGAATCCATGTCATAGTTAATTTTTCTTTTGACATAAAGGACTTTATGAATTACTATGGAGCTTAAGGAATTTGTTCCTTGGAGAATATAATCTTTTCTTTTTTTTTTTGCCATCTTGCTAAACTTGATCACAGATGGTACAAAGGTCACCTGCAGAGCAGGCTGTCCCCAAAGTCCCCAAATGCCAAATTAATGAGACTTTACTATGTAAAAATGACTGTAAGAAAGAAAGTCTTTAATTGGTCAGAAGTGATTACATTCTTTGATGTAACTTGGGATTTAAAAAATTATTTTTAAAAAATATTGGAAAGACAAACAATTCAATAGAGAAATAGGCAAAGAATATATTTTCAGAAGAAGAAATCCAAATGTCCGCAGACATATGATAGCACTCTCAGTCTTACTAATAATCAAGGAAAAATAAATTAAAATGATAACATTTTTGGCCTATTAGATTTGCAAAAATTAAAAAGACTGATAATAAATAACCCATGTTAGTAAGGACGTGGGGCAATGAGCACTCAGATACAACGTTGGTTGGAGCGAGTTGGTATGGTCTTTTTGGAGGACAATTTGGTAGTACCTATCAAAGTTTTAAATATGTGTGTCCTTTGGCCCAGTGATGGTACATCTACAACTCTATCCTACAGGAATATTGGCCACATGCATAAAGAAGGATAATCACTGAAGCTCTGTTTGTAATAGAAAAATTAGAATTTATCTCAAAGTCCACCAATATGGGTATGGCTAATAAATACTGGTGTCTTCAAACAAATAAAGACTAGGAAGCTTTAAAAGAAAGAAGGTAGCTCCTCCATTAGCAGGAAAGATGTCCACGATCTACCGTATAGTTAAAAACAATATATAGTACTACTCATATTGTATTGATAAATTTTCAAAAAAATCTTTATTCACAGATGTTATGGATTGAATTGTGTCCCCTAAGAATGTGTGTCAACTTGGCTAGGCCGTGATTCTCAGTATTGTGTGGTTGTCTACCATTTTGTGATCTGATGTAATTTTCCTATGTATCATAAATTCTAACCTCTATGATGTTAATGAGGCAGAGTTAGAGGCAGTTCTGTTAATTAGGCAGAACTCAATCTACAGGATTAGGCTGTATCTTGAGTCAATCTCTTTTGAGATATAAAAGACAGAGCAAGCAGACAGGAGAGGGACCTCATACCACCAAGAAAGAAGAGCAGGATTCCTGCGTGGAGAAGCTCCTAGACCAAGGGAAGACTGAAGACAAGGACCTTCCCTCAGAGCTGACAGACAGAGAAAGTCTTCCCCTGGAGCTGGTGTCCCAAATTCAGACTTCTAGCCTCCTAGACTGTGAGACAATAAATTTCTGTTTGTTAAAGCCATCCACTTGTGATATTTCTGTTATAGCAGCACTAGATAACTAAGATAACACATAAACCTAGAGTCTATTCTCAACACAGCCTCCAGAGTTTTCCTTTTAAACCATAAGTCAGAGCCCTATTACTCCTGTGTCCAAACTTTTCATTGTCTTCCTTTCCTACTCAGATTAAAAGTCAGAGTCCTCACCGTGATTTATAATTCCCTGTGTAATCTGGCCCACAAGGTCCCTGGGTAGCGAAAACTGTTTATGCTCATCTACCAACCTAACTAAAGGTTGGTGGTTCGAACCTACCCAGCAGCACCAGGAAAGGAAGCCCTGGTGATCTGCTTCCATAAAGATTAGAGCCAAGAAAACTCTATAGAGCTCAGTTATACTCTGTAACACATGGGGGCATCATGAGTTGGAATCGACTTGACAACAACAGGTTTGGTTTTTTCGTTAATCTGGCCCTCTGCTACCATCTGACTTTCTTCATCCTTTTCTCAGTTCTAGTCCCTCTGGCCTCCTTTCCAATACCTCAGGAAATTCTCTTCCCCAGATATCTCTATAGTCGCTTACTCCTATCCTTTATGTCCCCGCCCAAATGACACTTCACAAAGCGTACATTTTGGGAGAATACACTCCTCTCTACCGTTTACCTGGCTCCAGCACTTTCTATTCCTCTTCTCCGCTTAACTGTTCTCCATGCTCTTATCACCATCTGCTTCATAATATAAATGCTTGTTTATTGGTTTGTAATCTGTCTCCTTCCTCTAGAATTGTAAACTCCCTGAGGGCTGAGATTTTTGCTTGCTTTTTCATTGCTTTTTCATTGATTTCCAGCACCTAGACCAGTCTCTGGCACACAGTAGGTACTCAATAAATAGTTACTGAATAAATAAAATTTCCTTTTTTTGTATGTGCATAAAAACAGATGTGGAAAAATACACAGAAAGCTGTTAACAGTGATTACTGCTGGGAAGTGGGACTGGGGAGCTGTGGAAAGAACGTTTGCCTTTTAGTGTACACATTTCTGTACTACTTGAAATATGTACTATTTTTTAAATTAAAAATACTTTAAAAGAAAAACATAATGGTTCCATCTCTCCTTCCAGGTGACTCAAAATACTCTTTTTGGTTCCTATCTGCAGCCCCTGATCAATAATTTCCAAAAAGAACTATCCTAGGCTTGTCTCTACAGTACCATTTAGAGTTCAGAAATCACCAGTAAGCCTGGTCTTTGTGAAGTTCTAACACCATCAAATAGAACAGGAACATAAGACACACACACATACTCATACACACAGACAGGTACTCTGTGGTTTGATGGAGCCACGTGCTTGCCAGATAAAATGCCTTTCTAATTAACACACCTGACCTTTCTTTACACCCACTTCCTCCCTCCAGTTGGAAGGGACGTCACTGCTAATTCTTTGTGCTTTTTTTTCTACATAGTAAAACCTCCAACATTGCTGTCATACAGGGTGGACCCGATTTGGTTCCACGTATGCTACAAAATTCATCCTGTGCTAAAGGGAGTTCTTGAGACAAGACTCATGGTTTCCTTTAGAAAAAACATCTAACCCAATTTAGTAACGACAAGCATCTCAGGGACACATTCGCGCACAACAGCTACCCTAGTTGCCACTGAGTGGATTCCGACTCATCAACCACCATGTGTTTCAGAGCAGAACTGTACTCCATAGGATTTTCATGGCTGTGACCTTTCAGAAGCAGACTGCCAGGACTTTCTTTCAAGGCACCTCTGGGTGGGTTTGAACCACCAATCTTTTGGTTAGTAGCCCAGCTTAATTTTTTTGCCACCCAGGGACTCCTTATTGGGAGTTCATCCACAAGACCCTCAACACTATTTTTTCCTGAATTCTTAACCAGCTGAAAGGTTCCCTGTTGAGCTTTTGAAGCCTCTCCCTAACAGAATAGTAAATGAGGCACGTGGGGCACAATTTGGCTCTACGAGTCCACAAGGAAGCCCAGCCTGCCTGCTCCAACAGTTCCTGCAACTCACTGAGAAAGCAGGACAGCAACAGGCAACTCTTACCACCATCTCTTTAGTATGGAAACTAGATTGCTTAGAATTTTAAATGAGAACAAACCAACCAGCTGGGTTGTTTTTACCTTTTTTTTTTTCTTTTTAAAAGATTCAGCTGGAATAAAAGTCAAGACCATCTGGGAACCAGCCCCTGGTGAATAGTTACACTTGATTTTTACTAAGTTTTTGCAAAACAAGAGTTGGGCTGTGGGGCTATAGCTGACAATTCTTTGGAACAAGTGCCCCTGGGTTCAGCTTTGCTTATTCAGAAACACTGATTTATTACTCCTCAGATCAAGCTTCATTTCTCAGTCCTTGAGATTCTAGTAACACTTCAGAAAAGGTATCAGTTTACGACAGAGTGGGGCTGATTACTTAAATTCTCCTTACTTGGGACCACAGCACAGGCTTTGGAGTCAGACCAACAATGTGATCTTGAGCAAGAGAACTTACCCCTCTTGAGCTTCAGTTTGCTCATCTATTAATGGAGATAATAAATACCGACCTCGTAAGGTTACTGTTAGGATTAAATGAGGTAACGCACATACAGAGCTTAGTGTTGTGCTAAGATAAGGGCTCAATAAATCATTACAATTATTACTATAAAGAGAGATCCCAATTTTCTCTACGATTTTTCAGGTAGAAAAAAAATCAAAAACCAAAACCGTTGCCATGGAGTTGATTTCGACTCATAGAAACCCTATAGGACAGAGTAGAACTGCCCCATAGGGTTTCCAAGGAGGAGCTGGTGGATTCGAACTGCCAAACTTTTTCGTTAGCAGCTGAACTCTTAACCAATTGAGACTCCCATAATTGCCCAGAACAGTATCTCTTGACAAACAAGTCTTGAAGCTGACCACCCTGGAACCTCTTACCAGCCTTATCAGAGGAGCAGATTGATATTGCTGAAGTGCCAGATGTCAAATTTAATTCTGAAACACACACAAATACCATACCATGGAACTGACACTAGTGGGTGCCCTGGGCTAAATGAAGCTCAGGGATCTCACAAGGGAGCTGAGTGGCCCCCTGACCTCACCTCTGCACAAAGCTAAAGGTCACCACGGGTAAGCCAGAGGGAGCTGATAACAGAGAATGATGATAATGGAGCGTGGAGGAGGCTTATCAATGCCTTATACCTGCAGTCTTGCCCCAGCTGGGGAATCACAATGCTTCAAAGACCTCGGTCCCTTAGGCCCTTAAAGGGCCACACTCCCTGTTCTCATCAACTCTACCTCTTTCTTTCTGTCCCTCAATTTAACAAACATTTGTTGAGTGCCAACACAAGCCAGGCACTATTCCAGGTGCTGGGGACATAAAGGTGAATGAGACTCAATCTTGGCCACTGGGGAGCTTCCGGTCTAGTATGGAGGACAGACACTGTCACTGGCAGTTACCATATAAGGATGATGTCCAGAGTGTTCTCTGGAAGGAGCCCGGAGAAGGGAGGATGGGCCAGACTTGCTTTTGGTTACCCTTTATGTTTATAGGGCTCAAGGCAGTTCTGTTAGCAAGAATGTTCTGGCCAACAGGTCACTCACCACATTGGTTTTCCTCGTGGCCTTGACCCACTCCACAGGACTCTGCTCGGCGTTCAGATGTTCTGAGAGACTTTTTAGCGACTTCAAGGTCCATGCCTGATAGTTGGAGGTGAAACTGCTCCCTGTGGGCAGCTTTCCGGAGTGTGCGGATGGCTTTCCGGAGTCGCTTCTCTGTTCGCTTTACAATGCAGCTCAAATCACAAGAAGCTGCAGGAATAAGAAGGACAGCAGTTGGGAGGTCAGGCTGCAGCATGTGAGGATGTCCAGACAGACTGCAGGACCCACCAACACCTAGAATTCCACGTAGAACAGGATGAGGGAGACCTCGAGGTGGGTACCTATTGGGTTGGGCAGCATTCGATTTAAATCGAAATTTGTTGACCAAAATGGTAGCTTTGGGTTTTTATAAAACAGATAAACTCATCAGGTTTCAAACCAATTCAGTTTAGTTTGGGGGTGGAAAAAACAAACAAAAAAACAGGAGATACTTCAGTAGTTGCGCTTTTTCCCCAAGAAAGATGAAAAGTGAAAGGCAAAGAAATAAGGAGCAAGCTGTGAGAAGCCTGGCACTGAAGACTTGTTTTCAAACCAACCTGTCACCTCCTTTTGGTTAGTTTCAAGCTCAAACTCAACAGTGATAAACATTTCCTTAGCGGTGCTTGGTCGGCGAGGGGCTCCAGGGACTTGCTTGCCGGAGCTGCATGTAAGGTTTGCGTAGTGGAAGCTCTCTTTTACTGAACTGTGCTTCTCTGTATGAAGAAACAAAATTATCGGAAGCCAAATCCTGGCAAAGCACTCGGCTGAACATTCACTAGAGCTCAGTAACATTTCATTAAAACAATTCTTAAGGGACTAAATGATTAACTCCAGATGCCAAGATATTGCAAGCCCTAAGCTTGAAGCACGATGACATTTTAACTTTTTTTTCTAAATTTCATTTATTTTGTTGTTGTTGTTAATGCACACCGCAGAACAGACACCAATTTAACAGTTTCTACATGTACAATTGAGTGACACTGATTACATTCTTCAGGTTGTGCAACCATTCTCACCCTCCTTTTCTTAGTCGTTCCTCCTTCAGTTAACATAAACTCACTGCCCTCTAAGGTTCCTATCTAATCTTTTGAGTTGCTGTTGTCAATTTGATCCCATATAGATAGTTCTTAAAAAAGCATAGTGCTCAAGGCAGACCTTTTTTACTAGTTAAGCTAAACTATTGTTCAGTTTTAAGATGACTTTAGGGGAAATTTCTGGTTTAAGGTTTAAAGATTATCCCAGGGCAGTAATTTCAGGGGTTCATCCAGCCTCCTCCATAGCTCCAGAAAGTCTAGAGTCCACGAGAATTTGAAATTATGTTCTGCATTTTTCACCCTTTTCATCAGGATTCTTTCTACAGAATCTCTGATCAAAATGTTCAGTAATGGTAGCTAGGCACCATCCAGTTCCTCTGGTCTCATGGCAAAGGAAGCAGTTGTTCATGGAGGCAATTAGCCATACATTCCATATCCTCCTCCTATTCCTGACTCTCCTTCTTCCTCTGTTGCTCCAGGTGAATAGAGACCAATTGTTGTGTCTTGGATGGCTGTTTGAAAGCTGTTAAGACCCCAGGCACTATCCAATGAACTCGGAGGTAGAACGGGATGCACTAAACACGTTATTAGGCCAATTAACTGGGATGTCCCATGAAACCATGACCCTAAACCTCTAAACCAAGGAACCAAATCCAATGAGGTGTTTGGTTGTACATAGGCAGCCTCAGAAGCTACTCTTTTTTTGTTTTTGTCATTGTTGTAAATATATCTATCATACAACTTTTGCCAATTCAACTTTTTACAGGTGTACAACTTGTTGACAGCAATTACAATAATCTGCCGTGCAACCCTACTGTTAATAATTCAATTTTTCCATCGCCATTAACCTTTTCTCCCCCTCCCTCCCACCCCTTGTAACCACCAATAAACTTTAGTCTCTACATTTGCCTTTTCTTGTCTTTTTATATAAGTGAGGTCATACAATATTTTTCCTTTGTGATTGGCTTATTTTGCTCAGCATAATGTCTTCAAGCTCCATCCATATTGTAGCATGTATAAAGACTTCATTTCTCCTACTGGCTGAGTAGTAGTCCATTGTATGTATGTACCACATTTTGTTTATCCATTCATCTGTTGATGGCATTTAGGTTGTTTCCATCTTTTGGCTATTGTGAATAGTGCAGCAATGAACATTGGTGTATAAGTCTCCTTTTGAGTCTCTGCTTTCAAGTCTTTTGGGTATATACCTGGGAGTGGAATTGCTGTGCTGGGTCATATGGTAATTCTACTTTTAGCTTTTTGAGGAACTGCCACACTATTTTCCACAATGGCTGTACCATTTTGCATTCCCACCACTAATGAGTAAGGTTTCCAATTTCCCCACATCCTAGTCAACATTTCTTATTCTCTGTTTTTTTTTTTTCTTAGCTACACTAGTGGAAGTGAAATGCTGTCTCATTGTGGTTTTGATGTGCATCTCTCTGATGGCTAATGACACTGAGCATTTTTTCATGTGTTTGGTGGCCATTTGAATGTCCTCTTTGGTGAAATGTCTATTCAAGTCCTTTGCCTATTTTATGATTGGGTTGTTTGTCTTTTTGTTGTTGTCAAAGTTTTATATGTACTTTGGTTATTAGATTCTTGTCAGATATATGGTTTCCAAAGATATTCTCCCAGTCGGTAGCTTGTCTTTTCACTTTTTTGGTAAAGTCTTTTGGTGAACAAAAGATTTTAATTTTCATGAGGTCCCATTTATTTATTTTGTCTTTTGTTGTTTGTGCTTTTGTTATTATATTAGATAATCCATTGTTGAAAGCCAGGCCTGACAGTGTTGCCCCTGCTTGTTTTTCTAAGAATTTTATAGTTTTAGTTCGTATAGTTAGGTCCTTAATCCATTTTTAACTTGTTTTTGTGTATTGTGTAAGGTATGGATCCTGTTTCATTTTTCTGCATGTGACATTTTAATTTTGAAGAGCCCGTATTTCCTTCTTTATAACTTTATAATTTAGCTCTTGAAATTTCTTTTCATGGACAAATGCTGTATGTTTCCAACAGACCAGCCACATCCGTGGAAGACGAGAACCAGGGGTTGTTTCACATTCCTCCCTTCTGCTGACGGCTGGGTCCTAAGGTGCTCACGTGTTCTTACAGCTGGTTTCTTTAAAGTTGGACTATGACGTATCAAGCAGGGGCTGAAGCTTCAAATAAGGCATGAACACAGAAGTAGAAAGGAAACCAACTTCTGCTTTCAGGCAAACTGACCTTGGAGCAATTCGAACTTGAAGGGAAAGCTGGAAAGCAGATCAACGGGGATGTCTGATTTTGAAATAACCAGGAGCAATAAATGGCACAAAGAATCAACAGAACCAGACAATGTCATGAAGGCATCTAGAATGAGACTGACAGTGTTGAGTAAGATAGGGCTTTGTACATCCCTTTCCCTGACTTTGGCCATGTCCCCACTCTCCATGGCTTCCAGTGAATCTGTTAACTAATGATTGTCAACCTGAATCAAAGAGCAGGTCCACATGCCATCCACACAACTAATTCGTCTCTACTTTGAAATCTTACTCTATTGAACTGAAGTATTATCTGTATTATATTCTCCTCTAACATTCCCTTTTCAGAAGGCCAACTTCAAATCTCAAACTAAACAGATGCTTATTTTGTACCCTTTTCTCTTTCAATTTTCCCATACCTATTTTTCTCCTTTTTATTGTGAAATTATTTTAGATTTACAGAACAGTTGCTAAGACAGTATAGAGATCTCCCATAGATCCTTCACCCAGCTTCCCCTAATGTTAATATCTTGCATTTGGTACATTTATCAAAACTAAAAAATTAACACTGGCAAAATAACATTAACTAAATATAGACCAAATCTATTTTTAAATAATGCTTCTTTCTGCCTCCTGATTTAAAACTATAAATGCTCACTGTAGAGAATTTGGAAAATGAAGAAAAAAATTAAAGTCACCTATCATTCTCCCACCCAGATATAACCATTATTAATAACAGAGTGAGGGTGAGTTTTCCTTTTTTTTTTTCCTTCTAGCCATACTTTTTCTTATGTAACTTGGGTTGTATTACATATACAAAATGTTGCTCTCCCTTTTTCCCTTTCAGAATTATAACAAGAATATTTTCCTATGTCATTAAGCATTATTTGAAAACATAATTAATGGTTGCATAATAGTCTATCAAATGGTGGTACCAAACTTGATCTTGGTTAGTTAGTTAAGTAGGAAGTCAAAAGTGATTACAGTGAGCTTTATGTTTGTTTGTATGATTTATTTGAAGACGGATTGGGGAAAGAAGCTTCCTAATATACGAATCCCAATTTTTTTTACTGTGGTAAAAATATATACAACAAAACATTTGCCAGTTCAACAAGTTTTACATGTACAATTCAGTGACATTCTTCATGTTGTGCAACCATCACACATCCTTTTCCAAACTATTCTATTACCATATAACAGAAACTCAGTGGCCAATTTTTTTTTTAATCTCTAAAATTATTCTATGGAACAGTACTAGAAATATGAGCTAAGAAAGAACGAGGAGTGTTGGATTCTGCTCTTTTCAGTAAGGCCAGTTCTACTTGGATGGTATTTGCTATGCTGAAGCCAGTGGAGTCACTGCCTCCAAAAACATGACCCAGCAGGAAAGTTGGATATTATACCTTTGTAACAATTAAAGATTATCCTTTCTGAGCCAAACCTTTTTTCATTTGATTTGGCTTATATTTGAAGCAAACTTTAAAATCTAGAAAATTTAACCCAATATGATCACAGATTGCAATGCATCTTAAGCCTTATTGACTACTGCAAACTCACAGGTTTTCTCAGGGTTTCACCAACTGCACCTCGCAAAGGAAGCTCTCAAGTATTATTATGCCAGGGCTACACAGGGTCCTAGCCTATGAATAGAGTCCCTGGAGAATCTGAACTGTTCAATCCCATCTGAAGTGCGCTTGAGTCAGTGGACAGACATTGGCCCTCCCTAGGACTTCCAGCTCGGCTTGTCACAGGCCCCTTTCCCAACATGCAGGCACGCTCCCTACACCAGCCATCCGATTCCATACCTGGTAGTACTGGTCGCAGACCCTCAGGAAACAGCTCAGCCTTTCTCAAACTACACTTGCCTTCATTTAGCTTAAAGGTTACACTTGTCCTGATGGTGGTGACATCTTCAGAAAGAAACAAGTGAGAAATATTACCTTCAGAGGCAAAGGAATGGAAATATCAGAGGGGTAATGGCAAGCTATTCATTGGCTGTGTCCCACCACACACTGCATATCCCAAAACTTCTTACTGATGCAGCTTCTCTCTTAACCCTGAGACCAAGAAAAGTTTGGGTCATGGAGTATCCATTACCCTGGGACAGGGAACACCAGGAATCTCCTAAGAGTTACATGTATCCCTACACTTGAGAGAGAAATCACATTTATCCCTCCACTTGAGAAATCCAGTGTTCAAATATAACAAAGGAAGGGCTGACAACAGCATCAGTCGTCAGATGAAGGATGAAATGATCTTTGTGCCTTCCTGAGAAAGAAGTCCAGAATCTCCAAGTTTACATTTGAACAAGACTGTTGAAGGATATGCCAAAGGGCTGACTCTCCTAAATAAATATGTCTAGAAGGACAGGGCAGAGGGAGTCACCTGTTCCAGACAAGGATGGCACTCAGTAAACCTGGCCAGGAACCCTGCTGATGCAGTGGTTAAAGCGCTCAGTGGCAAACCAAAAGGTCAGCAGTTTGAACCCACCAGCAGAGAAAGATGTGGCAGTCTGCTTCCGTAAAGATTTACAGCCTTGGCAGTTCTACTCTGTCCTATAGGGTCACTATGAGCTGGAATCTACTCAATGGCAGTGGGTTAGTGGGTGGGAGAGAACAAGGGTGCCGCTTTGAGGGTCTAATCTGAGAAACTGAGCAAGTTACTTAATCTCCCTGAGCCTCAGGTTCCTCCTCTGTAAAATGGACATAATTACAGTACCTACATTATCACAGTACCTACATTATCAGGCTATTAAGAGGTTTAAAAGAGATAATGTAAAAAAAAGTTTAGCCTACCACATGTTAGATAGTAAGAACTGAATAACTGTTAGCTATTTGCTTGGCCACCCTTGGAATGGCCTAAATCTTCAACTAACCATCCCTGAGGGATTTGATGAAATAGACTATGATGTCTGTTCTGGCTGGGTCCAAATGCAAGGCAAAAGAGGCAATTGAAGGATAGTGGTTAAAACTCTGGATACAGACTGCCTGGGTTCAAATCCCTACTCCACCATTCTCCATCTGGTTACTTTGGGTAAGTTATTTCACCTCTCTGAGCCTCAGTTTCTTTATTGGTTTAATGAAAATAACAGTAAAATTGATTCAGAGGTTTGTTGTGTGGATTAAATCAACTAATACACGTAACACACTGTCTGGCATATTTTAACTGCTTAATTAATATATGTGAGCCATTAGTATCTTGCTTTGGGTCTCTAGCTTTGCTCACATACATAAGTTGGTATCAAGAGCCATTTCCTCATTAAGATGTTCTCATAACATAATCACAGAGGTGTCTGTATATGTAAGGACAAGGCCTCCTGATAAACCGGGAAGGGTTTGCGCTCCTTTCTCTCAACAGAATCCTTGCTACCCTGTTCTGCCCACACCAGTCTCCACCAACTCCATGTGCCCTGAGGCACACATTTCCTGCTGGGCCTATGAGGCTTTCTGGGGTGCAGGGAGCATAGAGTAGCCATGAGTCGGAATCAGTTGGACAGCAATGCAATGTGGATGTCTCCTGGTACCAGAGCTCTGTGGTCCTCTGACAACATGACAACCCAACCAAGGCTGAACACAGCACCTCCTAGCACACGGTGGACACTCCATAAGTATCCATTACATGATGAGTCAGATTTTAAGGTATCAAGGCTGCAGGCAAGAACATCCTGTAATGGCCACACAGCATTGAGGAAATTAAGAGAAAAGAAAACAAAGCCAGCACCCAAGAACAGTGCCCCACATATGAAGCCCATTGAATATAGGGAGCCCCGGAGAGAACACACAGATTTGGTAATTACCCCCGAAAGCAGAGTCATTTGCTTTTTGCTGTTTGCTCCTGAGAGGAGAGGAAGCCCCGCAGGTGACAGAGTAGGCCTCTTGCAGTCCTGACAGACAGAACATGGATTTTCAAACATGTAAGCAAGGTTACACTCTATCCTGGGAGCAGCGCAAATAACCCTCCACCCCTACTCCACATGGACCACTAGAAAACACTCAGCTTACGGGGTCTCAGAGTATAGGCCTCTGGTGGTGACAGGACATCTGGTCTAGAACCTGGAAGTCATCGAGGACATCTAACACCTGGAAACCAGGAAGGCCTGGCCCTGACACCAGAACCTGCCCCAGGGACTGGGACCCACTCACCTGAAGAGAGGTGAATGCCAGAGTGACATCTTAGGAAGCACCTGTCTCCTCCACCACTCTTACTGCAATGCAGGGACACGGGGGGCATCCTGTTGGGCAGGAGCCCCTTCACTTCTAAACAGGACAAAACACAGACACTTACGGAAAGAGAAGGAAACTTCCAAGTGTGACAATGACAATTAAGTCCCATACATCGAAGGCCCCACAATATCAGGAAAAGAAGGTAGAGCTGACACCCAGCACAGAACGCTGACACCAGGCGCTATTTCCCAACAAGTTAAAGGAGTCCCTTGTATGCTAATTGTCATGCAGAAAAGCAACCAAGAAAAACAGAAGTTCCAGCCTACACAGAAGGAAGCACAGAAGGAAACACCAAAGAGTCTGCAAAGTATCTCCTGTTTTTGAACTATTCAAAGAAGGGCTGCTGCAGCTAAAGGGAGGAGAATTAAGTGGAGGGATAGTCAGCTGCACTCCGGATCCAATTATACAGAGGAGAATGCATGGAGCTGCACTGTCTCTGGGCCAGGGGCACACCGCTGACTGAGTCTGCGCCTCAGCGCCCCTTACCCACACAGTCCTTTTTATTCCAGTGGAGCTTGTGGCCAGAGTGGCATTGGCATTCGTAGCTGCCCACTGTGTTCACACAGACTTGCTGACAGCCTCCGTTGTTGACGTTGCACTCGTTTGTGTCTGTGGAACAAAACACTCTCCTGTCACAGCAGCCCATCACTGACTCCCTTGAGGAAGGAGTGGGAGGGGAGTCGCGTGGTGGAAACTGACTAAGGGAAGGTGTTCACTGCCTTCAGGATGTGCACTTGGCACCAGCGGGCCCCACACCCTACTCCATGCATTTCCTGGCACGTGCCTCGCCAGGGTGGTCTCAGGTTCCATTCTGGTCCAAACCATTTCCCCATTGAGACACTTTGAAGGAGCCACACTCTACTTTCAGATGTCCACACTCAGACATTGCATAGGCTTCCAATTTAAAACCCCACCATCCTCCTGGGCTGCATACCGAGGGAGATAGAGAGAATGAGGATTCCTCCTTTGACTATATATATATAGTTGAAGTACAGAGAAGAGAAGTGACTTGTCCAAATCCCCATCAACCTGAGGCTGAGTTCAGGTTGGAAGGTGGCTCCAACTAACCCAGATACACATCTGTATTCAGAGTACATTTCCTTGGGGTTTCTTGACGGACTAGGAAGAGTACGCGTTTAACAATGTTAAGAATGGGTTGAAAATGAGAAGGGAAGCAATATTATCTACAGCAATCACTACTATCCACTCTTCTCAAGCACAGGGCACAAGGAAGTGGGCAGGAAGTACTTGAAACAACAATTCCCAAAACCTTCAGGTCCTCATAATCACTTAGAAGTTCTACATATTCTCAATCAGAAATCTGCAAATCTGTATTCTCAAAGATTTCTGAGTGAGTCTGATGATCAGGAGAGGGAACTAAGGAGTCAGTTGGTGCCAAATCTGATTTATGCCATAGACCATAAGGCTATGTGACTTCAGAACATGGGCACAAGGCAGAGAGATAAACTCAAATGGCCCCACTTCCAGCTCAAAGATCTACTTGTGAGACTCGAACCAAGGCTTTGCAGTCAGTTCCTATGCACAGCAGGACTATGGCATTGGCTAGTGCCCTGCCAAGCCTCTCTGAAGACTGTGACTTTACTATCTGCTGGGAAGTTCCAAAGGATAGGGTATCAGCTCCTGAGAGACTCTCCCATTCTCTGAATACAACTTGCATCAATAAAGCCAATATAGATTTCACAGCTGAAAGAGCTCAGCTCTTCTCTCTGCTCCATTTCACACTCGACATGTTGAAGGGATAAATGTGGGAGACATCCCCTAGCAAATGCTTCCCTTGAGCAGATAAGCTCATTACTACAGTTCAGGGACTGGAAATGTGCCTTTCATCCTCCGATGTAGGAAAATAAAGACTCCTGATCTGGAGAAACCTTGGCCTCTGCCCCACTTCCCGCCAGGCCCAGCATCCTCCTACCTCCTGACTCTGGAGGGGCAGTCTCCTCACCTCCACAGTGGGTAAAGCCATAGAGGGTGTACCCTTTGTTGCAAGCACATGCAAACGTGCCAGGGTGGTTGATGCAGTTATGGTCACAGGTCCTATCCAAAGAGCACTCATCCACATCTGTAATTTTCAAAGGGAGAGAGGAGCTGAAACCTCTGAGGGAGGAGTGTAGAGAAGAGTATGTTTATAATGAACACCAATTGCCGACCAACAACAAATAGGTTCAAAAATTATCCATCAGTTCTCCTTGCTCACTTGTGGTAAAGAAAGTACCATAAGTACTCACGGCCAGGGACCTTATTTCCAAATTCTTTTGCAAACTGCACTTGCCTAAAAGCTCCATTAGTCTCTCTCACCCATGCTTGTTTGCAGGGCTGAGTATTTAAAATATTTAAACGAAGCCAAATGAGATAACATACCTAAAAAGAATTTTGTACATTATGAGGTGGCACAGTGGTTAAGAACTTGGCTGCTAACCAAAGGTCAGCAGTTTGAATCCATCAGACGCTCCTTGGAAACGCTATGAGGCAGTTCTACTCTATCCTAAAGAGTCGCTGTAAGTCGGAGTCGAATCAACGGCAATGGGTAGCTAAGTATTATTATTGTTATATTACTATTGCTAAACAGCAACAATAATTTTATAAGCTATGTTTAACTGAAAGGAGAAAACACTTAGGCTGGAGATAAATCCAGTTCCCATCTGACTCTGATCTTCCTAAATTTAGTCTTCTGGCTCCAGGAGGCCAGTTGATCCTAGATTTTAATACTATTTCTGCACTGAAAGAATGCATTAACCCTAATAGCCCCTGTAACTTTCTATTGCAGACACTGAAATTTAGTGTTTAAGCTCCAAATTGGATTCTCTTGGCTGATTCCTTGATTTAGTTCCTCCCCATGGCTCAGTCCCACATGTTCTCCTTTGTCCGTGTTCAGGTAGGGGCATCCTTGGCTTCAGCTGGGGTCATGGAAACTGACTTCAGGAGGCTGCATTTGTCTATCTAATCATCTCTTTTCCCCTAGTCTGTTCCTCACATCTTTCTTGTGGACTAGAATTTCAGTATTTCACTTTCTCAAATCTTTGGAGGGTTTTAACAGAATTACGACCTGTGTTTCCAAATGGATAAACCAGGACCAGTACAGAAGTCAGTGGAAGCCAACTAGACCATTGCTAGACCACTTTTTCAACACTGAATGTGCCATGAGAGATTACATTAATAAAAAGCAAACATTTGGAAGGACCTGGAGGAATGAAAAAGTGAAATAAAAAAGGGCAAATTCTTAGAAAACGTCTTCATCCTAGCTTCTCCCAGAAATCCTGGCAATTTCTTCAGTAAATTTGTTCTGTGCAAATATTTGTTCTGCCAAGATGGATTAGTGAAAAATGAGAAAAAGTCAGTTTCTTCCATAGTAATTGATGCCATTCTATGAAATATGTTATTAATATCAGCTAGTTGTTGAGAAAGTGGACTCATTCAGTAGCTGATTTTTGCTGCTCACTATGGGACTTTGCTTTGCCAAAAATAATGAGATCACTTTTCTAATTCCTTTTTAATGTGTTTACACAGCTCAGACAGTACTTCTTGCTCTATACATTATGAATCATTATGTGGAACAGTAAATTTGCTTTTCAAGCCAAACTGAAGAAATTCATGTAATAATCATCTACAATTAACTCACTTACTGAATTGAAAGGGGAGTATATACTTGAACTTTTTGACAAATTATCTATTAACAAGAACAGACCAAGAGGGAAGAAAAACCCAATTTATATGACAAAGTTTTTAAAAAGGTGATGTTATATCTTTATTATCTGAAGTGAAATCAGATATTATATATAACGACTCAATACTGGTATTTTTAACAAAATAAGCTAGGCAGTTCTTATTCCAAAAAATGGAGCAGGGATAAACAACAGCACATCTTTCCTGAGCACTTCTTCCTGCACATCAATAGAATATAAAAGGTGCCCATCTAAAAATATAAATGATGCCTACCACTCAAAACTATATCCCACCCACCCAAGAAAGTTACTAATAACACCAACTGCTACCCAGAGCAGTTTCCTTGCTGCACCCCTTATGTAGCAAGGAGGGCATACTATTGAGGAGTCTGAGATGCTACCTGAGGACCAACCAGCATCTCCTCTACACAGGCCCCTCCCTCCCTCTCTGCCACCCTCTCCCCAAGCAACAAGGGTTCTGAGGAAGAAAACAACTGGTACATGATCTTGATTATGGGTTGACCTCAACTTTTTGCTAGAAAGAGTATTTTAACTAAATCTACATACTATTGCCATTAATTTTTGTTATAAAATCAATAATATTAAAATAAATTTTTTAAAAAGAAAATTATTCCTAATCTCTACACCCCAATACAACCCTGTTTGCATTTTGTACGCCATCCCATTTCCAGCAGCGAGTTCAGCTGTAATCAGACCAGACAGATTCTTTGAGCTTAATGATTAACAGCATAATTTCAATAATATACCTGTGAGCTACATCAGTGTTTTTATTCTGTTTAGCAGAGGAAATAAGTGAAGCACACGTTGGAGGCTGGATTACTGATTTCTTCAAGAACCCCAGTGAGCCAGTCTCTACCAGGGTGGGGTTATGTCTTCTCTGCTCCAACCAGCAGGCCACTTCACAGCTGAGCTACATTTTCAGCACATACCTTGGCAAGACTTCTCATCTGTTAATAATTTAAATCCTTTTCGGCAGCTGCAGTCAAAACTGCCCACGGTGTTTTTGCAGAAATGATCACAACCTCCATTGCGGGTCTGGCACTCATCAATATCTGTAACAGGCAAGCATCAGCAAATCAGACAGCAATACTTGCCTCACTGTCCGCAAATCCCTGAAGTGCTATTGCATGTGCTTCATTATTCTCTGAAAGAAGAACAGATCCATAAAACCATTTAAGGATATTTGTTGATGTTTTAAATCTTCCACACGTTTTATTGTCTGGCTTAACCAATTTTGAAAGACAAGGGCCTCATCCTCTTAAGAATGCTGACTTGCAATGCTCTTGACTAGCATTAAGGAAACAATCTATGGGAAAGAATGATCATCCTTGCATTGCTTTCTCAAAATAAGATGGTTCCCTTTAATATACTTTCCATAATACGCTTTCCATTCCAGTTTGATGATTAAAGCTATAAGGGACTAGAACATTTGTTCTGGCAAACTGCACAATGATCAAATAGCCTCAGTGCTTTTAAATGATTCCTGATACTCAAATTAATCTTATCTTTTTTCAGTTTCATCTGGTAACTGGCTATCTACTTTTTAATCATGTAAAGAACAAATCCTTTGTACTTTTGCCTGTGAAATACCAGAAGGTCATTGGGAACTCTCTTCATCAGTAAAAGTTAATCATACAGTTATTCATTAAGTACCCTGGATAATAATCTTGGCTGTTATTTACATAATAAGCTCTAGGTTGTTATTTATGATATGTTGATATTATCTCCTGCAAATGAATGTTTCCTTGAACTTCTGCCTTTTTCTTAAAGGCCACTGCCTGAAATGGATTATTTAATGCTTGTAGAGGCTGACCCTCTTAACAGTTAGTGCAATTAAACTGGTTCTAATTAAGCTTACTCAATTATAACCTTTCACAAGTTCAAAGAAGAAAGCTTCCATCAATATGAATCATAAGCAAATCTGGAGTCATTCAGCAGGTGGGTATGGAGGGGAAGAGCTGCCATTAGCAGCATGGGGCTTCCCTCCAAACCAGGACATCCAGCCTCCCTGGAGAGGCACAGGCTACCTTTACAGGTCTTTCCATCCAATTGGAGTGTGAATCCGACAGGACAACTGCAGTGAACACCTGTCGAAGTATCCTTGCAGGTGCGGTCGCAACCTCCATTGTTGACAGCACATGTTTCTGACAAGGAGGTAAGAAAAAGGACATTAGCTTCCTGAAGAAGCACTAATACAGATGTTGGAAAGAGATATTGTTACAGTGTTAATACTTGACAAAGTTCCTGGAAGCCAAGAAGCATGATGGGATACTCACAGATACACCCCAAATATTTGCCATCTGCAGGTGAGATAAAGGGGGAGCAGGTGGAGCTCCCTCCACCCTTATAAATGACTTATTTCTCCTAAGGAAGCTTGACAGGGTAAAGATGCCTCTTCTACCCTGCAGAGCCTTTCCCCTCAACTGGCAGATTTGAAGCCACTAAAATTTCCTGCTGATCCACAGCCCGTGACCTTCTAAATATGACCACATCTGGCAAGCTAGCTGTGGATGCAAAACAGGGCAAATGTTCCTTCCTTAATTCTGAGCACCATCCCTTCAAGATGAGTAATGAGTAAAGCAAGAGAGGGTAAGCATTGCCCACCCCAACCATTCCTTTGTTACTGACTAATGACTTCATTCTTACAACTGCTAATTAACACATTATAAGTTTAACTTTCCCTGAAAGGAGAAAGACCTGTCACAGTCACATGAGAAAGCAACCACAGTTGTTAAATCACTACTATAGAGATAAGAAACAATAAGCAAATGGCCTTCTAATCCTGCATTTCCTACAGTAATTCTAAGTAATAGGCAAGTGCTATCCAACATTCATTCAATTGTCAGCACCTCGGTATCCAGAAACCTGATTTTACTTCCACAACTACCTCATTTTAAAGCCTGAGGGTGGGGGAAACCTTTAGTTCTAACTAAATATGACAGATAGAACATGCACATATGTCTGTTTCCACTCAAAAGCTCACTAAAATGAGAATAAATAGATAGAATAAAAAAGTATAAATGCTGAAGGGCAAAGAAAACATGAGAGGAGAAGTCAATGAAAAATGTTAAATTTCCTGGAAGTGGCATGTCAATGGATGGGCAGTAACAACCACAGCAGAAACCTAAGTCCTATCAGTCTGCAGAGGGTGTACAAACAAGTGGTAAGCTCATCTGAGCCAAAGAATCCCAGAAAGGCCTGGGAATTGGAGGTACCAAGTTACCTCAGAGACAGAGATAAGGACGGAGGTAAAAACAAGAGGATTGGTTGAGAGTCTGTAGAGGAAATAGATAAGCCCCCAGAGTCCCTCCTTAATTCCACACAGCCAGGAGACTACCCCTTTCTTTTCTTGCTAAAGCAGAGATATTTATTCTCTGGAGAAGCTGCACCAGAGAGGCACCAGACTTGACACCAGGAATAGCAGAGGGTGAGGGTGAGGCACCATCAGGTAAAGTATATATTCTGAAAAGAGAGATCTCAAACCCTCACCATCTCCTCAGCTCCCAGAATACTAGCAGCCAAGCCTCTATCCCCTAGGCGGGAGATTGAAGGATTCTGCTCCAGAAAACTGGTCTGCACAAGTGAAAAGACTTATAGATATTGGCATATGAGCATATCCAAATGAATGCCTAAGTCACTGCCTAATCACCCAAACATAAAGCCCGTCAGTCAATAGGGCATCCAACTGGCTTTTTTTAGGAAATATGAAGTCATCCAAGAATTACCAGACATTTTGGGAAAGCCTCTAATATGAAATAAACACACCAAATCAAACAAATATAGAAAAAGGAACTTGGAGGGAACAAAGATAATAATAGGGAACAAAAGTTGTTTTTTTTTTTTTAAAGTACCTTACAATTAATTTCCTCAGAAAGACAAGAAACATATCCATGAAATAAGAACAGGTTCCTACAACAAAAGAATAATCAGAGAACAAAATTAAATTCTTAAAAATTTAAAACATGAAAGCAGAAATCAAAAAAAAATCATACTGGAGGATTAGAAGACAAAATTGCAGAAACTTCCTAGAAAGTAGAACAAAAATACAGAGAAAAGATAAGAAAACTAGAGGATCAATCCAAGAGTTACAACAGCCAACTAAGAAGAGTTCCAGAGAGAGAGAGAACAGAAAAAATGGAGAAAAGAAAATTTCTCAGAACCGAGGGACATGAATGTTCATATAGAAAAGGCCTACTGATTGCTCAGCACAACAGGTGGAAAAACAAACACTAAGAAACATTATTGTGAAGTTTCAGATGACTGGAGACAAGAAGATCCTCAAAGGTTCCAGACAGAATCTTTCATAGGTTTCATACAAAGGATCAAGAATCAAAATGACTTTAGACTTCTTGAAGCAACACTGAACGCTTGAAAACAATGGAGAAATAACATAAAAATTCTGATGGAATATTATTCTAACTCTAAATTCTATACTGAGCCAAATTCTTAACAAAGGGTGAAGTTAGAATAAAGCCATTTTCAGGCATGGAAAATTTTTAAAAACCTACATCTCATGTACTTTTCTCAGGAAGGTACTACAGAATATGTTCTAATAAAACAAGGATGTAAACTAACAAAAGAGACAACGTGGGATCCATCAAAACAGGAGAGTGGCAGAGGGAATTCATAGGCTGATAGTAAAGGAAAAACCCAGATCCCAGATGAGAGATGTGCAGCCAGCCAGGAGTCAGGCCCTACTACTGCAGGAGAGAGGGAGCCTCAGAAGAGATTTTTTAAGAAGAAAATTGAATTGGTAAGTTACTTGCTGTGCTTGAGCATAAACAGGTTTAGAGTTCTGTCAGAAATTTGCAAAAGAATTGATAATAGGTATTTAGAAAACTAAGCAAACAAAGAAAATATAATCATAACATATTACATGACTCAGAAATGAATCATATTTACTCATAGTCACAATGATGTACACATGTAATACTGATTTAAATTGTGATAAAAATACACTAAGAGTATAGGGGAGAGTATGTGTATGAGGGAGTGTAGGGGAGAGGTTAATCCTAGTCTTCCATAATAGGAAGTCAAAAGCTAATATCTAAAACTGACACATTAAGAAATACCTGTATACACTTCATTTTCCAGAAATACGGAGGAAGTCAGAACAAAACACAGCTAGGAGAAATGAAAATCGTTGCCTCTGGCAAATACGATAAGGGGATAGGAAGGAATGAGGCAAGAAAATTAAGTGTTTCATTATAAGCTTAGTAGTACTAATTAAGTTTTTATATTATTCATATATAGCATTTTAATTTAAGGCAATTAAAAAAATAATTTTTAAAAGGCAGAAAAGATCTTAGAAATGTCACCTGATTGGTTACCAATGGCTGTTCAATATTCTCACTTGATTATTAAAACAGTAGCTGTCAAAAGATCAGTTTTGTTTAGGTCAAGCTACTCTTTCTCCAGAATAACAATCTGTCAAAGGACCTGTTTGATTCCCACCCACCACAGCCACCGCTTCTACTTTGGCTCTTGTCTCCAGCTCGGCTGTTCTACCTGCTGGGCAGATGTTCCCATGTCCCACAGTCAAACGTCATTCTTTTCCATTCATCTCTTCTACCGTTAACATCGGCTGAGTTAAAAAAAAAAAAAAAGACAAATTGCCATGCTAAACTACAGGCTGCCCCAAGTGCCTCTCTGATTATGGTTACTCAGAAGGGAGGAAACTGACATTCACTGACTGCCCACTAAATTCCAGGCACAGGGCTCTGGGCATTTTTGCATATTATTATCTTAATTGAGCTTCCTGACAGCCTGAAGAGGTAGGTTTTATTATATCTGTTTTACAGACCAGGAGACGGAGGTTCAGGGCAGTTTGCCTACGGTCTCAGAGCTAGTCGGAGCAGTGCTGGAGGCGAGTCTAGTTATTCCGATGGCTCGGCTGGTGTGCCTTCCACAATGCCAGGGGTCTTGGATGATGACTGAGCCCTTGCACTGGGTGAAGAACACATGTCCTGGCTTGGCAGGAGCTGTTCATTCCGGTCCAGCTGGTCTTAGAGTGGATGGCCCATAAGCTCAGGCCTGATGCAGTAAGTTGGGGAGGGAAAGGGACAATGTCAGTTGCCAGGGGGGTGGGGTTGAAGCGCCTACCCATGAGCAGCCTTCGTTTCACCCGTTTATCCCCATCCACCACTGACGTGGTATTGCTCTCCATCACCTCCAGGGCAGCGTCCTCTTGCTCTACAAGAAGACAAAGAGCACAGTTCTCAGAATGAGTCAAGTTATTCATCCCCTGCACAACCACGTCTCCTGAAATCCCAGACATGAGAATAATTTAAGATATGTGGCTCTGTTCACGCAATAAAAATGTGTTGTAATGAGGCTCTGCGGGAAACACAGCATGTTAAGTGGCCACAGATCCTTAGTAAACATTAAATAGGGGAAAGATATTTTAAGCATATTGCAGTGATCAAAAAAAAAACAGGGAATGTGAGCTTCAGATTCACCCCAGTTCCTGCAGGGCAGGACAAAACAAACTGAGCCTGGAAACCTCTAAAACAGAGCTAGCAAAAGACATGCTATACTAGTTCCTGCTGACTGTAAAGACTGTTCTGTCATCCCAAACAGCTAGCTCTAGCTTCACTTAGCCCTCGCCCCTTGGGATATGCTGTCCTAGTCTCCAGAACACCAGTGTCAGGAGCAGTCTGGTCCAAGAGAGGAGGAAGGGCTTTCCAAGGTAACACAGGAAAAGAGGGACAGAGTAGGGTCTAGATCCCTGTCCCTTACCCCCAGTCCAGGCTTAGACCACGCCGACTGCAACATATGAAGAAAGCCTTGCACCTGGTGCTAAGCACCACCACCGAGAGTGCCTGCATTCAGGGTATGTACAGGCTTGGGCAGACCCTCACCCAGTGGGTGTGTCAGCACTCACCGAGGCAGCTCCGCCCATCTGTGTGCATCTTATACTGTGGATGGCAGCTACACTCTGGGCCTGTTGCCGTGTCCTCACAGGAGTGCTGGCACCCACCGTTTCCATGGTTACAGGTCACTGAGAGGAAAATGATTTGGCACATAAAGCACTGAGATTTCCACAAGCACGGCTGGTTTGCTTAAGAACTCTGATTTTCATTCAGCAAGTATCTGAGAACCTTGTATGTGCCATGCACTGTGCATTAAAGAGCTAAGCCTGACTCACACCCTGTCCTATGGGGGAGACAGTCATGTAAACAGATAGTCACTACACACATAGAAATGTGGAAACACAGGTTTGAACAAAGTCATACAGGATGATGGAGATGGGAGAGTCGAGGGAGATTTTCACTATTTAAGGGAAATTATATCAAGAGAATCTAGAGTAGTGCTTTGCTCTTGCTAGAGAAATTTGTGTATTAATTCAGCGCTACTGGTACTTTGGGGAATGCAACAGCATTTTAAACAGACAATATCTAATTTGTACGTAACCTGTTGCCACTGTCATTGAGTTGATTCCAACTCACAGTGACACTATAGGACAGAGTAGAACTGCCCCGTAGGGTTTCCGAGGCTGTAATCTTTATGGAAGCAGGCTGCCACCTCTTTCTCCTATGGAGTGGCTGGTAGTTCAAACCACTGACCTTTCGGTTAGCTGCTGAGAGCTTTAACCACTGTACCACCAGGGCTCCTTAATTTATACATATATGTTAGGATTTCTCCCATTGAATTCTATATGGATTAGTTTGAAGGGAGGGTAATCAGAAGAAATGATGACTCTTTGTACATGATTAATGCAATATTAACCAATAATTATAAAGACTATGTACGAAATCATTGATGACAGGCCAAAACAAAACAAAACTATCTCCTTATCAAACTGTTAACAGTGGTCACCTCTGGCAAAGGCAAGGAGAAGGGGAGAAGACTGCATGTTTTCTTTATACACTTCTGGACTGCTTGGATTCTTACATAAGCATGTGTAATTTTCCTAATTTAAAAAATAATAACAACATATTTCTGATGTAAGAAAAACATTCTATGATTACAGTTATGTATAACTTGTGTATGCATATGAACAACTAAATAGAAATATGGAAAAAAGTCAAAACAGATGGTTATGTGGTGGGATTCTGGATTTATTTATTTTTCCTTAAATGCTGTTGTAATAGTATTTGAGCAGTGACATCTTAAAAACATTTAAATTTTTAAAATGCAAACTTTCTAGTGTTCTACCTCCAGTAACTGACCCCTGAAAAATTGTAAAATGCTGAGAGTCTCACTTCACAGCTGAGTATTTGGAGGATGTGTTTCCTCCTTCTGACCATAGCTGGAGGCAGTTTTGTTCCTCTGGCAGGAGAAGTGGTTTCCACTCTGCTCAGCCCACTGGGAGCCCTCCCAGAGAGACTCACTTTCAGGGGTCCTAAGATCTTGCCATGAAAGTAGTGGTAGTTCAGAATTCTCGCCTTCTATGCAGTAGACCCAGGTTCAATTCCTGGCCAATGCACCTCATATGCAGCTACCACCCATCTGCCAGTGGAGGCTTGCGTGTTGCTTGATGCTGAACAGGTTTCAGCAGAGCTTCCAGACTAAGACAGAGTAGGAAGAAAGGCTGGTAACCTATTTCCAAAAGTCAGTCAGTGAAAACCCCGTTGATCACAATGGTCTAATCCCACTGTGTATGGGGTCACCATGAGTCGGGGGCCAACTTGACAGCAGCTAACAAAAACAAGAGCTTGTCAGAGCCTGCCTGTTATCTGAGTGTGATTGTGTACCAGCCCTGACTGGGCAGGCTTCCAGGCCACACTCTACTTTGTGATTGGGGCAGTGGAGACAAGTCTCACTGCGGAAACTGTGTTCTCACCTCTTAACCTCTAAGGTCTACTCACTGTAAACAACCATCCCTAGCAAAAATTGCAGCAGTCTTCTGTCCATAGGTTTGGGAAGAGTTCCTAAGGGGAAATTCTTAGTGTTTTCTCTGGTATAATTAGTAGTTTAGAAATACCTTTAATTGTCAGTTGTTTCCTGTTACCTAATGGAGTTTCACTATCTCTATCATTCTGTGTCGGCTATGTCTGGACTATGTATACCATTTATTCACCCATTCATTAAACAAATGTGATTGGACATGTGCTGTAGTAGGTGCCAAGAGGATACTGAGAGGTAAAAACAAGACCAGTCCTTGACTTGGAGTTGCTCATAATTGGGGAGTCAGACACATAAATACACAATTTAACCCAGAGTGTCATGCAATATAATTAAGGAATGAACAAAGGGCTGTGGGAGCAAAAATACAAAATGACTGCCCTGTCTGAGGCCATTTGGGAAGGCTTCTGAGGTAGTATAGCAAGGGATTAAGAGCACAAGCTTTAGAGTGGGGTAGACCTAGGTTTGAATCCTAATTTGCCACTTACTCCTTGTGTGACCTTGTTGCTTTAACTTCTCCATAATTTTCTCAACTGAAAAGTAAAGATAATAATAACTTAGCACAAAGGGTGGTGGTTATAAGGATTAAATGGAATAAGGCATATGCTTGAGACAAACCTTTGCACATAATAAATACTCCAAAAAATGATAGCTAATATCCTATTATATTGGAAATTAGGCAGGATATTAAAGGTTGAGTAACAATTTGCCAAGCCAGGAAGGAAGGAAGGCTTGGGAAAAGGCTTGGAGGCACGAAAGAATACAGGCTGTTCTTCAAAAGGCAAGGATTTGATGTTTGGGCAAAGGAGACAGATGAAGCTTGTAAGAGATGTAGGAATCAGGTAGCAAAGAGCTATTGGACAAGAAATCTGACTTTATTCTGTGGGGATAGGGAGCCCTGCTCCCCAACATTCACACTCTTTACTCCTGAATTTAATTTCCTTCTGATTGGCCCCTTAAAAGAACATCATTTCCCTTCCCTATGGGAGACCACCTTTCTACAGTGAACTAAGTGCCTGGTGGAGGTGCCAGGTGCCTTCCCTGTTGCTGATGTGGTGGCATTTCTGATGCCGGGGCTGCGAAAAACAACCTCTGGGGTATGGTGGTCCCCAGCGTGGGCATGCACTAGTCCATACTTACAGATGCAGTCTCTCTGGTTCTTGGCCAGCTCAAAACCAGGCCTGCACTCGCAGGCGGCACTGCCCCTTGGGGCCTCCTTGCAGATGTGACTACAGCCGTGATCCTTATTCATGCAGCTCAGGCCCTCTGCAAAACAGCAGCATGTGGCAGGTGACCAGCTGTGGTCAGAATCCTGAGCCAAGGGGAGCTGCAAGGGGCTGGAAGGTGGGCCACAGACCTGCCTGTCTGGGTCTCCATCAGCCTCACCTTTTAAAAAAGTACATCATTAGCTTATACGAAATATCTAGAATTGGCAAATGCATAGAGACAAAAGTTTATTAGTGGTTGTAAGAGGCTGCGGGGGGGAGGAATGCGGAGTTACTGCTTAAAGAGTACTAAGTTTCTGTTTGGGGTGATGAATAACTTTTAGAAATGGATAGTGGTTAAAACAGCTATTTTTGTTATATATATTTTAACACAATAAAATTAAAATTTTTTTTTGAAACAAGAATATGCCATTAAAATCAAGCTGATCAATTAACAGAGGCATGAAAAATTTCTTATGTCACCCATGAGATACGATGTCTCAGCTCTCCTAAAGAGGTGGGAGCCTTCCCAATAAATTGAAAAGAAAGTTCCCCCCAGGAGCCCTCTGTTGGGTGAGGGATCAAAATCTGCTGACCCCAGAAACCAGTGCTCAGACTCTCATCTCTGCTATATCATTACCCTCTAGCTGATCGAGAATGCAAGGGACAAAGGAGAATCCCCCTAAGAAAAGCTGCAGATAGACTGGTGAAGATGTCCAACTTTTTACATACCCTTGAAAACAATTTTCAAAACATTTAGATCCCCTCCTCCACCAAATCCACACTTTGGAGGTGAATGTGACCACTGCATGTTAATATCATCACACGGACACCTGCCTAGGGACCTCTCTTATGGGACCCATCCTCTGTTACTCTCTCGTCTCCTTCCTCAGCAGGCTCAAGGCATAAGCCTCTGGCAGATAGTGTCATAGAAACAACACAGCAACAAAGTCAACAGAAAGACAGACCTCATACATGCAGTTTCTTTTAGCTGCTGTATAATTTTTTTAGGTATAAGTTTCCATTAGTCACAATTTTGTGGTAGTGGTACAGGAAGGGGGATTATTTTCCTGGATAGTTTAACATGCGTCTAAATGATGGGGCCACCACCCATTTATCAGATTGCTATGATGCTGGAAGCATGCTATCAGTATTTCAAAAACCAGCAGGATCACCCATGGTGAACAGATTTCAGCAGAGCTCCCAGACTAAAACAGGAAGAATGGCCTGGTGATCTACTTCCGAAAATTAGTCAGTGAAAACCCTGTGGATCACAACAGAATATTGTCTAGTAAAATGATGCAGGGCCGGGAACATTTCTTTCTGTTTACGTAGGGTCACCGTGAGTCAGAGCCAACTCAATGGGAATACCAACAACACCACCTGATGGGGAGACAGTGAGACAGCGACGTAAACGCCCACGTTTCACCAGCATCGTGGCTCATCTCAGCACCGGTTCTTTGAGACCTTGCTGCCTACCAGCACACCCAAGAGTATTCCCTAAACATCTGCTTGGTTTGTACTGTGTTATTAAGTATCTGTTCGTATGTTGCCTCTTCACATTTGTGTAATGCAACTCTAAAACATCGTTGAGAATAGGGGCTTTGTTCTCATTAGCTCTCTACTAACAAGACACCTTCTAATAATGGCTGTGAGAACAAAAAGCTTTCATTCACTTCTCTAAGATCCAATCCTGTTCTGTACTGTGCCCTGAAACCTTAAGCCAATAGGTCCTAAGGGGTCAAAAGTCTCCTCCAATTCTCACCACAGAGCCTCCTATCTATGCTTAACTGGAACAACTGTTTTAATACAAACAGATACCATCCTTATTCCAAAAGACAGCACAACAGTTCATACAACCATACTCTCTTGAGTCTCTCTTAAAACCATCTCCTTTTTTATCCGATAGCTACGAGTTGTTTGCACTCCACCTCTCAATCCACTGGATGTTGCTGGGATCCATTCACCCATGCCAAGGGCTGCTGTCAATTTACACAGAAAGAGGCATGTACTGGATCGGTGAAAAGTTCTCTTTGCTCCAGCTGGTAATCCTGAAGATGTTATTTGCTCTCCAGAACCATGACGGCACAAGGAGGTAGAAGCTGCCTCCGGAAGCAGTGTCCTGTCCTCCTGAGAAGGCCTAGCAAGCCCTGTGTTTGTCCTTAGGTCAGCAGAGTATTCGAAATAACAAGTCCCGGGAGCACCCAGAGGTAAATTTAACAGTGCCCAAGAAAAGGCAGGAAGACACCTGGAAAGCACACTCCCCAACAGGTCAGCTTTTTCTTCTTCTTCTCTTTTTAAAACTCTGTTTACAAGTCTGTTAAAGACATCCGAAAAGTGACCTTTACTGCCTCAGAGCAACTCATTTACACAAGAAATATTTCGTAAGAACTAACCGTGTGCCAGATGCTATGGGGATACACAAAGACGTCGCCCCTTGAAGTCATATCATAAAGTTACTGGAAGGTAATGGAGGCTTAAATGGCTCTGGAAATGCTGAGGCCTTTCAACAGGTGACTCTAAAGCTTTTCAGAGTACCCTGACTCAAGTAAGGCCACTGTTAGAGGAGGCAGACCGATCTGGTCCAAACCAGGAGGCCCTGGCCTGGCAATCGCAGTTAGGTTGTTACTTGACCAGGAGGGAAACAGCTTGAGAACATTTGAACACCCCATTCTGGTGCTCCCCAGGCTCAGGGTTCCACTGAAGAATATTTCTCGAAACCAAATTAAAATGTGCCCTGAGAACAGGTCAAGAAACATTCCATAAAGTAGAAAAATAGCCTGCTAAGAGTACAGCCCCTTCCTCATTACTCTGAAAAGGCAGCAGCACAACCATCTAAAAATATTCTCAGACCAGACAAAACAAGAGAGGAATGCTCATTTTGAGAGCCTGAGCACCCATGAATAGGAACAAAGGCAGGCTGGGAGTGATGTATCTCTCCCCAGCCTACCCCCATTACATGGGTGAAAACACACAGTCTCTTTATCAGAGCTTTGGGGGTCTCTAAAATCAAGAAAGAAAAATCAATAGCTTGAGCTTTCCCTCAGAACCAGCTATCATAATCCTTTAGACTGAAGAGCATTTTGTAAATAATTATTAAAGACAACAGTAGCAACACTAGAAGAGGCTAGCTTGCAGTATTACCTTCTTTTAAACATTTTTAGGGAGTCAATGGTAGGTTTTAAGGTCTATTAATTTAATGCAATTTCTAAGGGTTTAATATGCAAATAAAGGCAGAAATCCTAGAGGAACATTATTTGCATGTTGTTCTATTTGAAGAGTTAAAACCTTAGACTGGAAGGGGTTTCAGCTACAAACAGTTATAATCTGTCAGCTCGCACCACAATGGACTTGCCAAGCAATCAGGTTGAAATGCAACAGAAAATCACATACAGGGCTTCCAGACCACAACTCAAATTCTTGGATTTTGGTTTTAGTTTCAAACAAATATGTTCATTTTAAATACCCTTCAGGGGATCCAAGAATGTCTGAATTATAGAAAATTTAGAAACCACAGTTTGCAGAAAGGAATTGCTTTTGTATTTGTTTCTGTGATGGGAGTGTTACAGTCTGTAGCTGTAATCAGTCTTGGGGGTTTGCAGGAGGGGAGAAGTGCAAGGATAATAGATGGTCGTAATCACTACAAGCTGCTTTGTGAGCCGGTGGAATCAATTCTGGGAGTGTTCAAGCAATGGCTTTACCGCTGAGCCCCCACCTTCCTCCCCAGCCACCTAAAGAGAAAGTCAGAGTGACTTCCCAGCAGGCAGCTTTGAGCTGCCAAAAAGTGAGATGACCTGAGATTCGGATCCCCCTGAGCTGCTGGCATCTATGATTTCATTCCCCCATGAGTTCTGCCTGCTTCGGACAAGACTACAGGGCATACTCAAGACTCCAGAGAACCTGGCAGAAAAATGAAACCCAAATGCTACTCTATCAAAGGCGACACCTAGCATGAGATAAGGAATCATCTGGTTATAGCCAGTGTGTGTGACTCCCCTGCCCCAAACACTGAGAATGAGCAGACTCATGGGTAGTATTAGGCATTAAACCCACCAGCCCCTGGTGTTTTCTCTGACAATTCTTCCTAGTATCCAAACAGGTATTCTAGTCAAGGGTAAGGTATAAACCATCATTCTGGGAATAATGGAGAAAAAATTATCTTCCACGAAGAAGCCCTTACAAAAGTCACTAAAACCATGATTAAAACAATAAACCTACAAATTCATGATTAAAAACTAGAAGACCTTAAAATCACCTCATTGTTAAGTTATGAAAATGAACAAGCAGCACAGTCAAAGGGAATTAATAGTCTCATATTTAAGGTACTTCCCCTAAAAGCAGGCAGATGCAAACCCAGGAAAAATGCACACAGATACCAAAATGTGGTTCTTCGGCTTAATAAAGGGCAGAGATGAATTAAAAGGAAGACAGTCAGTTAAAAATGGATGTTTGGTCACATGTATTTAGTGTCTCTCCTTCCCAAGAACCCACTAAAATATTAGAGGAATGAAAAAGGTACAAGCTAAAAGCAAGGAAGAGAAGGAAAGGGAGGCCGTCAGAAGAGAAGAGTTTTCGGCAAATGTGGAGGAATAGTAAGTGATGACAGCAGGGGCGGATTAACCAGTAAGCACGGTATGCACCAGCTTGTATTGAGCAAGGTTCACGAGGGCTTAATTGTATTTACTTGCTAGTCTGTGGTGAGCAATTTCACAGGGGTTTCACCACCTCTTCGATGTGGTGGGGAAGAGGTGAAAGTGTGCACTGCAGATTGGTGGGAAGGCACAACTGGGCTCATGTGTACATTGCTTATTGGGTAATCTGGCCCTCAATGACATGAGGTGAAGGAAGTCATGGCACAGACAGCCCAAGTCGGAGGAGGGAGTCCATCAGCCCCACAGAACCCCAGAGGCTCAGAGCGCAAAAATGCAAAGCATAGGGAAGGGCCAGATCTAGCTTGGGGTTTAAAACAGAGCAATTCATTGAAAGTCTCCTTAGGAAGGATCCAGCCCCCTCCCTATCCACACAAAGCAAGGAGCAGGCTCGTACTAGTGCTGTGGTTTCCAGCACCTTTTTGAAAAACATGGCATATCATCCATCATATTTCTCCTGAGACATTTACTCATGTTTGAAACGTTCTCTATTTAAAGATTAGAATCAGAGGATGTGAAGTTCAAGGGGACCTCAGAGCTCACCCAATCCAACCCACTGATTTTGCCAGGTAGGGAAGTTGAAGCAAAAATAACTTGCCCAGAGTTACCCAGTAGCAGAGTCTGGACTAGTTCTCAAGTCTCCAGAGCTTTCTACCCCATGCTTCCCTTTAAGTTCACTGCTAGGGGGAGGTCTCAGATGTGGCCCTGCCCCCTACCCACAGCAGGGCAAAGGTACCTTCTGAGCGGTGAATGCACGTGTGCTGATTGTCACTCAGGAAAAACCCCTCCTTGCAGCGGCACTCGTAGCTCCCCATGACGTTGACACAGATGTGCTGGCAGCCACCATTATTCTCCAGGCACTCGTCCACATCTGGAAGGAAAAAAGGAACAGGCTTTGTTTTTGTGAATATTTACATACCCCACCCAGCCCAGCATCTCAGGGGCTCCTGCTAAGCAGAGATGAGGTCCCTTCTTTGGGTCCTTGCATCACAGAAGCTCTTAGAATCCCAGCCCTTTGGGCCCACAGAAGATTAACCCAGCCCTCATGGGTCTGGGGCTCACTTAGCTAGGCCCTCCACATGAACACAAGAGAACCAGTTCAGTAAACATTTTCGGAACACCTTCTCTTTCCAAAGCACTGTGCGAGACAGTAAAATACAGATGAGCAAGAAAAAATTCCTTCCTTCTAGGAGAATTTCCTTCAGTACAGGGAGAGAGACAAATATACAAATAATTATGAGATAAGGGAAAAGGTGGCACAAAGGAAACAGGTTGTGGGGTATCAGGATGGGTTTTATCGAAAAACTGGTGAAGACAGCATCTTAAGGATTTCTTCAATTATAAATCAGGAAAAGGACTCCAGGCAGAAGACACAGTGTGAGCAATAGCATAGGCTGGGAAGCATGAAGTCTATTCAGATAACAGTGAGTCATTCAATTTGGCTGGAGCACAAGGTACATGTAGGGAAGTTACAGGAGATAAAGTTGGGAAGATAGATTAGGGTCACACTGCAGAGGACTTTGAATACCAGACAAAGAAGTTGCTACTTAATTTGGAAGGCAGTTGGAAACCACTAGAGCAGAAAGGGACATGCTCAGATACTGCTTTGGGAAAAATAAGGTGGCAGCTGAGGGTAGGACAGAGGGAAAGGGAATAAATCAAAAGCCTGGGAGTCCAGCTTCACACACATGCCTGAAATAGCCATGGCCAGAGCTGGTGGGGGCTGGACCTGGGGCCTGGCAGTGTGATTGCTCAGAATGGACAAGATAGAAAAGGCACTGTGGTATGGGGCCTACAGGGCATGGAGCCTCTTGGGTTGTGCGGTAGGGCATTATTACAGGGCCGGAAGCTGACACTGAGGCTTTTTGGCTGAGAAACAGGGAGGGAGAGCAGCGCTAGGTACAAAAATAGGGGTGGAGATACGGTTGGCCCCAACCAAGGCAGGGAGCTGACATTCCAGGGACAGCGGGAAACCTGAGGCAATTGGTTGGAAGAGAATCGGATCTTGTAAGTATAGCTTTGAAAATCATTTACTTGCAGTTGCCTAATAAAGTGATGGATGTAGATGAGACAGCCAAAGGCAGGAATATGGAAAGGTAGAGAAAGACAGCAGGGAGGAGACAGCCAGAGGTAGAATTCTGGAGAATGTCTATGTCCCAGGAGCTGAAGCCCCAGAGAAGGAGCAGGCAAAAAGGCAAGGAGGAAGGAAGCCTTCCCTGACCTGCCTTCTACCATGACTTCAACACTACCCTAGGGGACCTTCCACGTGTCCTATAACACCCTGTGCATACTTACTTCACTGCATTCTCAAAATCTTATCCATCTCCACTAGATTGCAAACTCCTAGAGGTCAGACTTCTGTGGTATTTAGCCCAGCGCTGGCACATAGCAGCTGCTCATTTACTGTTCAGTGAATGAACAAACAAGAAAGAGAGCACAGCATCACTAGAGCCAAAGAAGAGGACACTTCCAGTGACAAAGCTCAAGGAGAAGGCTGCTATAAAAGCAATTTATTTTCTCCAGCCTAATTTCTCATGTGCCTATCAGTAGCTCCTGGGCACATGTGTAACAAGAAAATTCACATTTAAATATCTGTTATCTGGTTTCAAGCTTCAGATCTTAGTCATCTGTCCTCCCATGCTACCAAGCAGATGCCTGACTAAACTGATGGGACTTGGGCCATCCCCTGAAGTCTAACAAACTTGCCCTTCTCTATGCCAAGGGGTAAAGAAAGCACATTCCTGAGGATGAGTCGCGCTGGAACACACCTGGCCTAAGTATCCACAGTGAGGACTCCAGGTAAGCAGGAGAGGTCTGTTTCCTGAACATCAATTTCTGGATTGGTTTTGAGTAAAGGCATGCTCCCCTTCAAGCTGCCACATCCCTACTCCACATTTAACCCACCATTCCTTTTCTTCGAAGCAATTAGAATCATGTCATGCAGCTGAGTGATACACCATGATTGGATAAATGTACAAATGTGTGTGTGTGTTTACATACACAGATGTTGTTCACTAGGCTGGATGAGTTTCTCCAGATTATGAAACAGTGGTTCTCAACCCTGGCCACACCTTAGCATCCCCACCTTCAGAGATACTGATATAACCAGTCTTGGATGAGGCCTAGGCAATGGTGTATTTTTAAAACTTCATGGCCCAAGCTGCTCCTTCACAGGTGATTCTAACATGTGGCCAGGGTTGAGAACTCTACTGTAACGCCGAATAGCTGTGATGTGCTCCCAGACACTCAATAAATAGAAACTGCATTCAGCTGCAGTAAGCTGCATTGAAGAGCTGCATTCATTTTTCAAGATCACACGCGGTTATGATCTCGGTGCACTCTGGGTTTTATGCCAGAGCTAAATGGTGTTCGTACACTGTATATTCTGGCTAATATATTTGTGGCTAATGTGTGGTTAGGGGACCAAGGAGAAGCGAAGGGTCATCCCAGAGAACACAGGAAATGCCACTCCTGAACAGTATTTGGCTCTGAGTTGCTTTCTTGTCACAAAATGCTTCAGCCCTTGCAAGTCTCAATGGCAGAGAAGTCTCTTGGTGTGCTGGTCCTGAGCTTCTAAATGTACGATTTTATTTTCTGGTGCTTTCCTATTAAAGAATCCTTAGCCCCTTCAGACATACTCTGTAGACACTCAGGGAAGTCTCAGGGATCCTTAGCTACAAAGTCCACAAAGGAACCCCAAGGAGGGAAAATGGTGATACTCTGCCGAAATATCTGTGTTAGCGGCCAAGGCAAGAAAAGACTCTGGCCTCAGGATTTCTCAGCAAGCTTTCACCTAAGAGCCACCCCACCCAGCCCCAACCCTCAGATGGTTCAGCTCCTTGCTCTTAGGAAGCTCACACTCTCTCCCCGGGGACTGTGACCCTCTCACCATGCTGTAGATTAGAGCACGGGAGCAAAATGCCACTGTTGGCAAATCAAAGGGGAATGGGAGATTTCCCTTGAAAATGGTAAAAACATACTATATGCTTCCCAACAAATCAGACACTGAAAGTGATTTCATTTTTCTGATTTTTAAATTAATCTTGATTTGTTTCCTGTTCTTAAAATGTCTCTCAAATGTGTTCCTTGGTGGTACTGATTGCTTAGAAAGTCTGCAGAGGGGTTGTTGAAACTGCAGCCCTCATCAGATCTTACTGACTCGGTGCAGGCTTGGAAGGCCAAGTGGTCTGTACACCTAAGAGCCTGACTTCTCACACAGAGCAGGAAGCGACAGAGTCTATATCAGGATGGGGCTCTAGGTGACACTAAAGTGGAATAAAGGCCATACAAGTGTTGAGTTCAAAAGGAAATACTCCCCTCCCTTGCTTCAGAGCCCCATCACTCAAAAAACAAGTTCTGCCTGTACATATCCAGTGCCTTTTATGCTGATCTCAAAGCATTTGATCAAGTGGTCATTCCTATTCACCATAAGGGGACATCTGAATAGCTGTCCCCACAGAGTCAGGGGCCGGCCCAAGCTGCTCATTAGATTCCTACATGTACACCAGCAGGTCAACCACAGGAAGGGTCATTAGGATCCTTTGACATGGGAGGCTATGCGCCTCCCATGATGTCTTCTTGTACAATTGATATAAGTAGCACTGGGATGCAAACAGACCTGCCTGCCAGGTGTGTGTGCTGCATCCTCTAAGATCATGCAACACTCAACCTCATCTAATTGCTTGCTGTTTCTAAGTTTTGCTTTATTCCTGGATAAGGAACCAGTGTAAACAACACCTTTTGCAGTCCTTAACTCAGCAATTGAAACTCCAGCAGATGTTTCTGTTTTGTGGAATACTAGGAAGATGTTAGTGGAAAGTTCCTGTTTGTCTTTTCCTCTCTTTAAAAAAAAAAAAAAAAAAAGAGGGAGTCTACCCAGCTGTAATCTGTGCAACATTTGGAGTTATTTCAAGACAAGGAGCTCTACCTAATTCCAGAATACAGATGCTTACAGAGCTAAAGAAATGGTTGTAAGTAAGGATCTTTTAAAAATAAGACCAAAAATCTTAAAAGTGACAAATCAATTCTAGAAAATCAATAAATAATAATGACCCTGTCCACCCACCTCCTCAGGCAAATGGAGGTTTTATATTATGAATCATCACATAAAAACTAAAAACACTTTATCTGATTTTCTATCAAGAAGTCTGATCTCTTGGGGAGCAGACAACATAAGTCTCTATTCTCCATCTTGTCTTAATGAGTATATTTTCATCGAAGGAAACAAAAGTGTGGGGGTGCTGGAAGAAGTGTAAAGGAGAATCACCGTTTCTAAATGTTTTCCTTACCAAGACAATTGTGACCATCATGAGCCAACATGAAGCCATCGAAACAAGTGCAACGATAGTTGCCTGGAATATTCAAACAGTCATGGACACAACCTCCGCTGAGTTCGTTTTCACATTCATCAATGTCTGAGGATGAAAACAGAAGTGAATCAGACAAGTGCCAAATCTTTGATATGGAGACAAGGTCACCAAGTCTACTCCTGAGTTGGCATTATCTTTTACATTCACTTTTCAACATCTCACTTGTTGGATTTTTCTGTAGAGCAAACCTAACAGAGATTCCACTCAAAGCTTGCTTCTTAAAGGCTAGGTTTCAGATTACACAAACCATAAACTGCAATAAATAAAGCAGACCATTTCCACCAAATAAGTTTCAGTTCTCATAAAAGAGAATCAAGAAATATAAGTGTTTATAAAAAATAATGTAAAAAAGACAGGAACAGATAATTCAAAAAATCAAATAAAAGTGGCTCTCAAACAAAAAAAAAATCTTCAAACATTTTTATAATTAGAGAAATGCAATTTATAACAATACTGTGATGCCACTTCTTACTTACTAGACCAGCAAAAATTAAAAAGGATGACAAAATATTCTTTTGGCAGGCTATGGGGAAACAGGCACTCTGGTGGGCATACAAATTGGTACATTCCTTCTAGGGAGAAATCTGGCAATACCTAACAAAACTACGTATGCATTTACCTTTTAACCAGCCATCCCACTTCTAGGAACATACCTGGAAGATACATCTCCAAAACAGAAAAACATATGCACAAAGTTATTCATCACAGCATTGTTTATAATTGTAAAACACTGGAAACAACTTAAATGCTCAAACATAGGAGAGTGGTAGAATGAACTATGGCACATCTACTCAATGGAGTACTATGAAGCTGTAAAAATGAATGAAAAACAAAGATCCCTATGAACTGCTTTGGAGTAATTTCCAGGATATACTGTTAAATGAAAAAAGTAAAACACAAAAGAGTATGCTACCCTTCATATAAGAAAGAAGAGGATACCAAAAAAAAAATGCGTGAAATTCCAACAAGCTTTTTTTGCAAAAATTGGCAAACTCATCCTAAAATTTATATGGAAATGCAAAAGACCCAGAAAAGCCAAAACAATTTTGTAAAAGAACAAATGTGAAGGACTTTTACGTATCAATTTCAAAACTTACTATAATGCTACAGTTATCAAGACATTTGGTACAGGCATAAGGATTAATCAATGGAATAGGATCGAGAGTCCAGAAATAAAGCCTTATATTTATGGTCACTTGATTTTCAGCAAATGTGCTAAGAGAATTCACTGGGGGAAATGATATTGTTTTCAACAAATGGTGCTGGGAAATATGAATTTAGACCCTTACCTCATACAACATACAAAAATTAACTCAAAATGGATTATAGCTAAATGTAAAATCTAAAACTGTAATACTTTTAAAAGGACTTCTATCTATAATATACAAAGAACTCTTATAACTCAATAAGAGGAAGACAAACAACCCAATTTTAAAATAAGCAGAAGATATGAACAGACATCACCAAAAACGATACGTGAATGACTAAGAAGCACATGAAAAGATGTTTAACATCATTAATTACTAGGGATGAGCAAATTAAAACCACAATGAGATACCATTTCACACACACTAGAATAGCTATAATAAAAAAGACAGACGTTAACAAATGTTGGTGAGGATGTGGAGAAATGGGAACCCTCATATATTTCTGGTAGAAATGTAAAATGGCACAGCCACTTTGGAAAACAGTTTGGCAGGTTTTTAAAAAATTAAACATAAATTTACCATATGACCCAGCAATTCAACCTCTAGAACAACCCAAGACAAATGCAAACATATCTATACAAAGACTTACATGTAAATGTTCTAGCAGCATTATTCACAATAGCCAGAAAGTAGAAACAACCCGAAGGTACATCAACTAGTGAATGAATAAAAAAAATGTGGTATATCCATATACTGGAATATTATTCAACAATAAAAAAGAATGAAATACTGATATACTCTATAACACAAAAGAACTTCAAAACATTATGGCAAATCAAAGAAGCCAAACACAAAAGATCACATATTATATGATTCCATTTACATAAAATGTGCAGAAAAGTCACATTTATAGAGCCAAGAAGTAGATTAGTGGTGGACTGGGACTGGGACTGGGAATAAGGATTAACTGTCCATGGGTATGAGGGATCTTTTGTGTGTGTGTGTGTGTGTGCTTTAGATGAAGGTTTACATAGCAAATTAATTTCTCATTAAACAATTAATACACATATTGTTTTGTGACCTTGGTTGCCAACCGTGTGACATGTCAACACTCCCCTCTTGTCTACCTTGGGTTCCCCATTTCTATTCGTCCAGCTTTCCTGTCCCCTCCTGCCTTCTAATTCTTGCCCCTGGGCCGATGTGCCCATTTAGTCTCAAATACATGGCTGAGCTATGTGTATTATTGTTTGTTTTATGGGCCTGTCTAATCTTTAGCTGAAGGGTGAACTTTAGGAGTGAACTCAGCATTGAGTTAAAAGGGTGTCCAAGGGCCATACTCTCGGATTTTCTCCAGTCTCTGTCAGACCAGTAAGTCTGATCTTTTTTTGTTCTATGTTTTTCTTCAGCTCCGTCCAGGACCCTCTACTGTGATCCCAAGCATGGGGGATCTTCTTGGAGTGAAGAAAATGTTCTAAAACTGCATTATGGTAATGAATGCACGATTCAGCTAGTTTACCAAATCACTGATTTGTACACTTAAATGGGTGAATTTTATGTTATTTAAATTATATATCAATAAAGTTGTTAAAAAGAAAAAAATGAAATGCATATGTATCTGCTTATTTGTGGAAAAGAAATATAAGAAGGATAAACCAGAAACTAATGATATTGTTTACCAACAGAGGGTCAGGAAAGGGGTGGAAAGAAGGGGGAATGGAAAAGAGTAGTAGGGATGAGGAAGGAGCAAAACTTCTCTGATTATATCTTTTTATATAGGTTTAGACCATAGTAATGCTTTACATATATGCATATATACGTAACAGCAACAGGAAGCAGGAGTGGGGGGTGGAAGAGGATAAAAAATGGAATACAAAGAGAAACGAACACATTATAAATGAATAATATAACCATTCTGAAGGGGAAGGGGAAGAAAAGTACTAATCTAAGTAACTTTGAAGAGTCCCTGGGTCATGCAAACCATTAACATGCTCGGCTGCTAACCAAAACGTTGGAGGTTCAAGTCCACCCAGAGACACCTCAGAAGAAAGGCCTGGAAATCTACTTCTGAAAACTCAGCCATCAAAACTCCTGTACAGTATAGTTCTACTCTGACACACAAGGGGTTGCCATGAGTTGGAGTTGACTCCACAGTAACTGATTTTTTAAGGAACTGGAAAAGGCATCTTGACTGGATACTGTGAGGCTAAAAACAAAAATAATAGTATAGAAATACTGCACTCTAGTTAGCCAACTTGTTTCTCACAAAGTTACGGGCTGTTAATTTTGTAAATATTTTATGCATATACTAGGAATAAATAAGTAAATATATTGTAGATATTGAGAGCCAGGTTTCTCACTGTTAAAGAAAGAAGTTACAAATAAGGAAAGGGGAGGTTAGTGTTAACCTTGTGGTATTGGCTTAGAATCAGGAGTATTACTGTAACTTGTGGATATATATATATATATAAATACTCCTGATTCCAAGCCTAGATAGATAGATGATAGACAGACAGACAGACAGATAGATAGATAGATAGACAGATCTATGTGTGGAAGTATGGGTTAACATGTGTACATATATTTCCTGACAAGCCCTAGGAGCAATGACACCCCAGTAGCAACACCTAGTATCCAGATCTTGGTTTCTATATACCTTTTGCCAATAAATGGAACCAAGGACCCTTGGAAAAGTGGTTTGATTCCAGGGATGGGGAGGGGGAGATATGAGTCTGGAACATCTTGTGGTGCCAGAAAATTAGGAATTTCTCAAAAAAGGATGAGTGCATGTCAAAAGGACACAGGAGATAACCTGGAGGAGTTCCCAATAGCCAAAGCTGGAACAATTTGAGACAAAATTAAAAAATAATTATAGATAGAATAAAATAAATACCTATAAGTCCCTAATGATATGTATATATGTATGGATGCATGAAGGAGCCCTGGTAGCGCAATGATTAAGTACTTGTCTGTTAACAAAAAGGTCAGTGGTTCTTCTGCTCCACAGAAGAAAGATGTGGCAGTCTGCCCCTTGGAAATCATATGGGGCAGTTCTACTCTGTCCTATAGGGTTGCTACAAGTCGGAATTGACTCAGCAGCAATGAGTTTATGTATGTTATGTATGAATGAGAAGGGACAGCTCTTCCTTACAGAAGAATTCCAACTAATAAATGTTGAAGGAAAGAGAGAAATACAAAAATACCATTAGGAACACACCACAGTAATAATTGTTGCAGGCAAGATCCACAGATGGATGCTAAAATCAGTGGATGAAGATTTGAAGAGAAAAAGGAAATTGGCTAAGTCCCAAAGTATAACCCGCAAGACCTGTATCTATTGCAAAAAAAAAAAAACCAAACCCATTGTCATCAAGTTGATTCAGACTCATAGCAACCCTATAGGAGAGAGTAGAACTGTCCCATAGGGTTTCCAAGGAGAAGCTGATGGATTCAAACTGCTGACCTTTTGGTTAGCAGGTGAGACCTTAATCACTGTGCCACCAGGACTCCATATATTGCAAAAGGGAAAAAACAGTAACTCTGCAATGGAAAAACCCAACAGACACCATCTTAACCAGGTGATCAAGGTTAACACCACCTATAATGGGACTTGTTGACATCACGTGCCCTCATGTGATGCACTGAGTTAGACACTCTGTGATGGTGGTGTTATTGGTTGTCATTCCAACTTACAGCAACCTCATGTGTGCAAAGTAGAACTACTCCATAGGGTTTTTGCTTTGCCAAAAATGCATAACCTCAATCTTATGAGAAAACATAAGATATTCTACCAAAGAACTGACGAGTACTGATCAAATATGTCAATGTCGTGAAAGACAAGGAAAGACTGAGAGAGTGTAACAGATTGGAGGAGACAAAGGAGACCCAATGACTAAATGTAATGTGGGAACCTGGAACAGAAAAAAAAAACACTAGGGAAAAACTGGCCAAAGTTGAAGGAGGTCTGTAGTTTTTTTAAATAGTATTGTGCCAATGTTAATTTCCTGGTGTTGATAACTATACTGTGGTTATGTAAGCTGTTGACATTAGGGTATGATGGGTGAAAGGTATATGTGAACTCAGCATTACTTTTGCAACTTTCTGAAGTTTAAAATTATTTCAAAATAAAAATTTTTTAAGGAAAAATCCAGCTCCTTATACAAAGACCAAGTTTAGATTCATTCTTGTTAAGTAAGCTTGATTCACTTCCTTAAACTGAGAGGTGAGGATATATAATGGATACTGATCTCTGAGATCCCCAAAGTCCAGGATACAAGAAAGACCATTTGGAATAAAACATCATTTACCTAAAGCCACTTCTGAATCACATTATTTTAAACACTATTTATTCAGGGAACATACTTTCATTTCTCAGCGTTTTTGCACAAGAACATTTGTGGAGACTAAAACTCTGGTCACCCTGGGCAAACCTACTTCCCATCCTTGAATTTAAACTTAAGCAAGAGGCTCTCAATGATTACAGCACAAAGGATACCACGGGTTGGACCCAAAAGCCTTAAAAACTAATGGGCCAAGAACCACAGATAAAGGAGTTACATCTTTGAATATCTATATTTTTTAATCCTTGCAATTTTCATTTTCTCTCCTTTTCATTCTTGTAAAAAAATTTCCAATTCTGGATTTCTGTACCTAGAAATCCAAACAAAACAGGGACATCCTTACTTCTAGGTTTATAAATACTACAAGTATTCAAAAGATTCAATCCTACTAGAGTTTTAGTGTTAACTGTTAACAGTGACTACCTGTGCATCAAGAGATAGGAGGCTCTTTAATTTTCTATTTTATACATTTTTGTACTGTTTGGCCTTTTATTGCAATAATCATATATTGTTTTTAAACAAATTTAAATGTATGTACAACAACGCCAATCAATCATCAGTTATTTTAAACTAAATAGTAGACTTTTCAACTATAAACTGTTGGCAATTCAATTTCATTTGTAATAAATATGTCAAACCCAAAAGCTAAGAGTAAGGAAACTCTTGCTGCTTGTCATTCAACATCATTTACTAAATATGTACTATATATCTAAAAGAAACTGATAGCACCATTTCTGCTTCCAGAGAGTATACAGTGACTGGAGGAGATAGAAAAGCGAATGTTCTTCTCCCAACCAGGGTACTAACGTGAGTTCCAGTACTGAGGGAGAAGATGTATAGAGGGATAGGCAGAGAGATGTTTCTGGAGGAGATGGCCCTTTGGCCTCACATGACATAGGGCAGAGAGAGAGAGAGAGAGATGGCTGCCTGTCTCAGAGTAAATGCGAACTTGGAGAAACACAAGGGCTTCATGGATGAGCCATCAGCCCCACCTGCTGTGAACCTGACTAGGAGCACTCCTCTCCTGCTGAGAAAGGAAAAAACTTTGCTCCCCATGCATAAAGGAGAGCTTCCTGAATGATTGCCCGAGCCATGTCTTTAACTACCACCAGATCTGAACTTGCCCATTATAATCCCATCTGTTATACATATTCGCTGTCTATATTTTCTTTTAGTCTTCCCTTCCTTTTTAATAAAATTCATTTTGAAAATCTCACGTGTCTCAGCTGAGCTAAGAAGACAAGGAGACAATGCTACAAAAGCATCTGACAGTCACACAGCTATCTGATCAATACATTCTATATCTAGATATTTCACTTGTGGGTTCGTCTGTTTGTTAGAAAAGACATTTGTTAAGTTGCTAGTTATTAAGCCTAACTTGCACATTCATGTATTCAAAAACAAGAATGTTTATTGAGTGCTACCATATACCAGGCACTACTGGATATTACAAACTGTTCTAATACCAAGAATCTTTATTATTTATTGAGAGGTCATAATATGCAACAGTGTGGTTTGAAACATCAGGATATTAACGCTAGGCCATCAAATGGCACCAAATAGATGTTTAATAAATGTTTTCCTCCTGACCTAAAGAAGTTAAAGCATCTTTTAAAGTGTCTGGAAGGGACTGTCTTACTAGGCTTACAAGTTATGCAAGTATTCAAAAGATCAGTTCCCACCAGAGTTAAGCCTAAGTTGTAAAGAATTGAAAAGGGGACCACGAACATGCTTTTCAAGGTAGGGTCCAGAGGCAAGGAGGGAGTTGCAGAGATGAGTTCAATGCACTCCCATCAATTTTAAACTTCTTCCTGCATGGGACAACTATAAATATTAGGATCTCTCACACAACCAAAGAGGGATACCAGGAAGCTGAGTGAATATGAGAGATGTGGGGTGGGGGACAGAGCTGGGGTGGATACCTGACTTTTTCCTTCACCTGCAGACTAACTGTATGATCACGGTCACAAACCTCTCTCCTAAATCCTCTGAGCCTCAGTGTCCCCATCTGTAAATGAGTGATAGGATTGGCCCAGAGATCTCTGAAAAGTCCTGCCAGCTCTGACATGCCATGATTTCCATCCCCAGGCACAGCTTCCTCCTATGAGTGCCCAGTCTCCAGCCAGTTCTGAACTTAGAGTTTGTGACACTAAGCTAATCCCCACTGGCTCAGAACACAAAATGGCAGAGTTCAGACTTCGGGCTCCAAAACTTGCAGCTCTAAAGACTTAAAATATCCCTCTGCACACATTTTTTCAGGGTGCACCTGAAGCTCCAGTCAAGACAGGCCCTTCATGTAGCTCTAAAGCTTGGCAGGTCAGATGCCAAACAGCCCCAAGTCACAGACAAGATGGAGCTTCCAGTGCCAGCTGGGGAGGGCAGGACTTTAGCACTTAAGGCTCCAGGGTAAGGGTACAAACAGCCCCATGGAGGCACAGGTGGGCTCTCCTGGTCAATGTGCTATTTACTTTCTGCTCCCAAACAGAGCAGGGTCAAAAGACACTAAAGTACCCCTTTTTCTTTTTAGAAGCTAGACATAAGGAACAATTCAAACTCAGGTAAAAATGTGTGATCAGCTCTGGGAAAGACCTAACATTCCCGGACCTCTATGCTTCTGAAATACATTACAGGGGGTGGGTGATGTGACTTTGGGGAGGGGTAGAACTTTTAACCAACATAAGTGGCCACTATAAGGGCTAAGAAGGTGAGGAGCTTCCTTTGCTGGCCCACCCACCACTGGCCCCCAATCACTTACCCTCACACTGCCTGCCCTCTCCCTGGTAACCAGGTTTGCAGATGCACTTGTAAGAGGTGGGTGTGTTCTGACACAGGGCATTGGCATGGCAGTCATCCAGCCCTTGGGCACACTCGTCCACGTCTGCAAAAGAACACCACAGCAAGCTCCTGGTATAGTGCTCCAAGCCCTGCATGAGCTGGCCTTGGCCCCTCTCCAGAACCATCTCCCACCCACCCACCCACCCTACTTCACTTCTTGAAATCCAAACTGCTTAGGCGTCCCTAAAATGAACCACACCATTTCCAGGCACAACCTGTTCCTTCTGGCTGAAACATCCCCACCCTCACCTACAGTCCTTCCAGACTCAGTGCAGCTCCACCTCCTCCAGGAAGCCTGCTGTGACTCCCAGTGTAGGTGAAGTGTGCCCCACCACATGCTCCCACATTCATCTCCATTCTAGCACATATCATGTGGGGTTGTCACTGCCTGTTTTCCTGCCTGTTTCCTCAACTAGATGGTGTCTTGACAACAAACTGAGTCTGCGTCTGTCATGCCAAGCACAGTGCCTGGCACGTGAATAGGCAATAAACAATGTGTGCTGAAGGAAGAAGAACCAGGTTAGCAAAAAGTTCTGAAAACCCAGCATCTATTGGCAGCTTTCTCAGGGCTTGGAGTACAGCGGGGGAAAGCTTGCTCTGGACTCTGAGCAGACTCCGACCTGAGCCCTCAGATTAAAGAGGGAATGATGTCTCCCTCACACCCCCACACACCACTGCCCACCTCTCTCAACCTAGAAAGCGGCCTTGGCAGAAGTATTTCCTGCACTGACAACCACTCCAGGATGTTGATTAAAAACAAAAGTGTTTTGAAAGTATTGCAAGTCCAGTTAGCGCAGAATGTTCTGAGTACTTATCTCCAGCTGCAGAAAACCCAGGCTTGCTGCTAAAAAGGCTACTTAAGGGTATTCCCGGATTGCAGATCTGTTCCACAAACAGAAAAGTCCTTGAATTCCTGGAGCTTGCAGTTTCCCAGCCCCAGAAGAAAGAAGAGGCAGAGCTGTCATGGCCTCACAGATGTACCCTCGCCGGGACCCTCAGTTTCCCCACTTACACAGTGAGAAACTGAGACCCCCATATCCAGCACACCTTCCTTCCTGCTCACCCGGCTGAGGACAGTCTGACCAGCAAGCGCTCTCCAGGGACCCGGGGCGGCAGCAACTGTCATCAGACCCGGGTCCGAGGCCGGGCCGCGGGACGCAGGCCCTGGGCCTATGGCCCAAGCAGTCAGTGCTGGCGCCTTGGCCTGGCCGGCGGGTGAGGGCCCCAGGGAAGCTGGGGCCACGCGGAGCTCTCACCACTAAGCCCCTGGCCCGGCCACCCAGCTTGGGGTGACCCCGCGAGGGGACCCAGGGCAGCTCTTCCCGGCTCCGGCCCTGCACACCCCTCGCGCCGTGCCAGGTGCGCCCCACAGCCGGACACTCACCCTCTGGCGGCCCTGTGGCGCGGCCCCGGCCAGGCGGTAAGACCGCTGTCAGCAGCAGCGGCAGCAGCAGCAGCAGCGCCCGGGCCGCCCCGGGACAGCCGCGGCACGCGACCCCCATGGATGGTGCGGCGGCTGCGGG